CACCACCACCACCACCACCTCCACCACAACACACAAACAAACCCCCAACCCCCCCACAAAAACAACCCGTCCTCACCAGAACCACGGTTGGGGTTACAACAAACCGACACGCATTCACACACGCACTTTTATGGGCCCCTTCCCTCGCACCACGCGAGCACGCACTTTTAATCCATCATTGCAGTCTTTCTCCGGACTCTGTTACCTTCATACTGAAAAAAATTGGCGGAGGAGGAAAGGGTTGCGTTCACTGTAGCCGCGCCGCTAGCCCCCCTGGCAAGCAGGCAACCCTGCTTGCGTTCTGGGCGGCGAGTTGCCTGCCATCTACCGGGCGATCGATAAGACTGCCTGCCGCTTAACGAGGAGAAACGCGATGCGCATGCGCGACGCGTAGGAAACACGGGGTTGCCGGATGTTCAACAAACATAGGATCTTCTCATTTTTGGTCGTACCTTCCCTTGCGGAGACCCGTCCATTTTTACAAACAGTATCGCACTGGACTGTTAAAGGCGGAAACATTCTCCTCTGTCCCTTGTACTCACATTAAACAGAGATTTTTACACCCGAAATTTCTTTCCCGCAACTTGTGAAGGGTGGAGTTAATCTTCCACACTCACTCAGTCCTAGCGCCACACCCACCGTTCTTGCGGGGGTGGACACGTGTTGTTACATGACTTGGTGGTGACATAACCTCCTCTTTCCACTGGCAGGTTATCGACACTATTTTCTGTTGAAATTTGTGCCCAGAACATATGCACAGTAACCGCTAAACCATGAAAGTTAAAAATGAAGATGAACAAATGTCTTAGATCCGTGGTGAACTACCTGCGGCCCGCGGATCGCATGTGGCCCTCACAACGTCTTTATACAACCCGTCACATGATTTGGGAATTGTTTTTTTTTTACCATTCGTCTACAATCGATTTTGCACGTTTACTGAAATATTAATTGAAATTACACAATGGTTTTCTGGCATTTGAAATAAAAGGATGACATTTAATTGGTAATTACCTGAAATTAAGTTGCTACTAAAAAAAAAGGGGGAGTTTGCAAAGGAAGTATTACACTTCTGGGTGAAGGAAAATTTCTCCGTGATATGAATTAAAATAAATTTATAAGCATGTTGAACAGCGAAACATAACCTACATCCTTTCCTGAAAAAGCGTTTTTGAAAAATCTGGATAGAGAGAGGAAAAAGGTTTGTATGGCCATAGAAAGAATTTTTAGGAGTTATCCGACTGCTTCGAAAAGAATTATAAAGCGAAATTCTTTTCTAAACCCACTGAAAGTAGACATCAATGTCGTCGTCGAATTTGAGATGGAAGTTAGTGAAATTCAGACTAAAGATTCTTTGAAGAATGCCTTCGAACCATCAGACCTGAGGATATTTTGTTGACTT